TCCCTCATGAACAGCAGGGACCCAGTGCTTGAGGCATGACCTGCTGCAGATTAGCAGGAAGCTGCAGTAGACCTCCAGTCTGGAAATGGAACCCACAACTCTGATGCAGGTCGCAGGCGTCCCAAATGGTGCATTAACTGCTGTGCCATTCATTTTTCTTTTTAAATGATTATCTATTTGAAAGGCAGAGTTAGAGAGAGGAGAGAGAGAGAGAGAGAGGTATCTTTCATCTGCTGGTTCACTTCCCAAATGGCTACAACCAGCAAAGCTGAGCTGATTCAAAGCCAGGAGCCAGAAGTTTCCTCTAGGTCTCCCATGAGGGTCAGAGGCTCAAGTACTTATGCCTGTCTCTGCTGTCTTCCCAGACCACTAAACAGGATGTTGGTGAGTCAACGGACAGGTGCAGGGTCCCAAGGCTTTGGGCCATCCTCGACTGCTTTCCCAGGCCACAAGCAGGGAGCTGGACTGGACGGGAAGTGGGGCTACCAGGATTAGAACCGGTGCCCATATGGGATCCTGGCACATTCAAGGTGAGGACTTTAGCTGCCAGGCTACTGTGCCGGGTCCAACTCTCCCTTTTAAATAAATAAAGAGGCTCTGGATATGCAAAGTCTGGAGGCCTTATTTGGAGATGGTCTTCTTGCAGGCTGGGTCTCAGGGCAGTGCAGAGCACCACGCAGCAAGTGAGTTTCCCTGGAGCTGTGTGGTCTAGCCTCTCACACAGCTACCAGGAGTCAATTCTCAGCCCCACCCTAATGACATCATGAGATCACCCTCCAAGGGCTCCACTTCTAAGACCTTAGTTTATCCCATTAATTTAAGACTGGGAAGATTATACTTCTGCAGGAGTTCAAGGGAACAGAACCATTCAAACCACAGCAAATGTTAGCTTGCCATAAACTACACAAGGAGAGTGCGCTGAACTGTTAATAAAAAAGCAAACAAATGCCACAGGGCATGATTTTCTCAAGTTAGTTACATCACAGGCAGGGCTGCCAGATATAGCAAATAAATACAACATGCCCAATTCAATCTGAATTTCAAATAAACAATGGATATTTCCTTATATCTCAAATATTGCATAGGACAGTCTTATGCTACAACACACAACTCATTGTTCAGCAGAGACTCATACTGAACTGGGTGCCTTTTTAATCTGGTAACTTTAATGATAAGAAGACAAAGGTTTTAGTAATATCCCTTCCTGCTTAGAAAAAGCTGTCAAGGGGCCAACAGATGGCTCAACTAGCTTATCTTCCACCTTCAAGTGCCAGCATCCCACGTGGGTGCTGGTTTGTGTTCTGGCTATTCCATTTCCCATTTTGTTTGTCTGTTTGTGGTCTGTTGAGGGCAATAGAGAATGGCCCAAAGTCTTGGGACTTTGCACTTGAAATGGAGTCCTGCAAGAGGCTCCTTGCTCCTGGCTTTGTATCTGCTCACCTCTGGTCATTGTTGTTGTTTGGGGAGTCAATCAGTGGATCGAAGATCTTTCCTTCTCTCTTTTTCTCTGTAAATCTGCATTTCCAATAAAAATACGGAGTAGCTGTAGGATACTTACAGGCTTGATGGTCTTTACTGCTGCTGTCACTGGGCAGTAAAGGAAGTTTCCCACAAAGCTGGTGTGTGAAAAGATCTTGTCTATTTTTAGGCTGAGGTAAATGGGACAGGAATTTTTTTCCAGGAATTCTGGGGAAAAAAAAGAGTCATAGCTGAAATAGTGGAGAAGGGCGTGCTAAAAGGGTGTGTCTGACATTTTGCATAGCAACCATCACTTAAGACACATCATTACTATGTTGCTCTTGTCCATCTCAAGCAAATAATGTTGGCCTCTTAATTGGAAGGCAGCAGAGGTCCCTGTTCTGAGTGTGTGGACCAACTTTTTCACGCCCAAGGGACAGTGAGATGGGAGCTGAGCAGAAGTGACATAATCCCTGACCTTGGCAGAGACGGTCACAGAAATAATTCTGCATTATGATGCTGCTGTGAAGGGAAGATGTTGGCGCTAGAAATCTAATCAAACAGGTACACTACTAGATTGTGATGTGGTGACTGCATGACTAATACTACACATTACATATGGAGCACACTGAAGTCTGCAGAGGATACCTGGCACCACAACAGAGGGCAGAGGACAGAACAAGTCCATCAACTACTCCAGCCAAGTGTTGGCAGTGAATAACTGGGCAGATGGAGACTCTAAGGTGGACTATGTCAACCAATGGATTCTGGAGAGATTTCATAAGGCTAAGTCAAGTGGCGGGACTTCAGCAATTCAAAACCGTTGAACTACTGAAACCTCATGAGCAGGACCCTAGGAGCATGCCCCACGTCAAGGAGCCTGGAGTGGTGTCGGTGGCTGTCCTCCATCCCAGGGTGCAGAGGTGTTTGAGAGGCTGGGTGTGGCTTCTCTCCGTGTCTCCCCGCTACCTCCAGATACAGGAGGGAAAAAAATGTGGAAATGGTGATCTCACCCACTTTCCTGTAGCCCTTGACCCTAATCAACTATGTAGAAATCATCAAAAACTAATAATTTAAAAAATACTACAGATCATGACAAAGAATCTGGAAAATAAAATGTTTCTTTTTTCACAGTACACATTTTCCTTATTTAGGAGGGCAGTATTCTGCTATGGGTTAACTTCTGGAATTTTTAACTTTGGCAATAATTACTATAACATGCATTTTCAAATTAAACATTTGCATACTTGGAAATATTTCAAGTTATTGCTGTTGTTAGAAAAAAATAGATCATTCTGCTTGATTTCTTCAGTGTTCAGCCCATTTTTCTTTCTTTTTCTTTCTTGATTTATCTTCCTTGGAAAGGCAGATTTAGACAAAGATCTTCCATTCACTGGTTCACTCCATAAATGACCTCAACAGCTACAGCTGAGCTGATCTGAAACCAGGAGCCAGGCACTTCTTCCAGGTCTAACATGAGGGTTTAGGGTCCCAAGGACTTGCAGCCCTTTCTTTCTTTTCATTTCTTTTTCTTTTCTTTTCGCTCCCTCTTTCTTTTTTTTTTTTTTAAGTTTAGTTTAGCAATCTTTAATTATGAGCATTCTCTTCCATTCTTAGAGGAAATTCTGCTGCAGCTTCCATGTTATCCAGGGCAGGGTTGTATTTGGGGGAACTGCTGCATTTCTGAGGCCAGATGAACTGTAGGGGAACTTATAGTTTTTTGGAGGATCCATCAGGAAATTCTCTATGGGGGTTTCTATCAGGCTTTCTGTCTTCTTTCAAGTCCCTGTGCAGCTGCTACTTGTTCGCTATCCAGCAGTGATGGACTTGGTGTATGAAGCTAAAAGTAATACACATGGACTACTGACTGATGGTCAACAGCCTGAAGCCCATTTTTCAAAGGTGGTGGTGCTGTATGCCCCTGAATGCCATCTCTGATCCAAAGGACAATAATTCCTGCTAACTTGAACGGGCAAAACTGGCATCTGCCTGTTTCAGTCGCTGATTACTATTTAATGTCAGGGCATAACTTTTAGGAAAAACACAGCAGCATATTCAAAAGGGTACCTCTAAAGTGACTGGTAAAATTCCGAAGCACTCACACCCAGTTTCCTCACCAGGATCAACCCATGACTCCCAGCCCAGGGCAGCCACTTCAGGCCCGGGAACAGCTGCTGCCACCATCACCTGCTCCAAACTCAAGACCCCTAAAGGCAACTTTTTTTTAAAGACAGAGCTCCTTTCTGCTGTCTCATTCCCTAAATGCCCACAGCAGCCTGGCATTTAGATCAGGCCTAAGCCAGGAGCTGGAATTCAAACCAGAGTGCCTCCTCCCACTGTTGCCTCTTGAAGCCTAGCAAGAAGGGAACCCAAAGCCCGGGTCCTCCAGCGTGGGAGGTGAGGGTCCGTGCCACGGGGCCAGTCGTCGGCTTCACACACAGCAGATGTCACATATCTCAGTCATGTTTTTGATATTGTGAACGCACCTGCAACTGATGGACGGAAGTACTTCTCAGGGCAACTTGGTTTGGGCAGTCCTCTTAGTAAAACCCTCTTCCCCTCCATTCACTGTTCTAGTATCTCCCTGGTTGAACAATTTGGCTCCCTGTCCCCCATTTGTTTTAAAGTGAAGGGACAATTACAGAACTAATGGGGGAGGCGAGGAAGGGGCAGACGTACGAAATCCCCTGGGACTCCGTCTCCCTTCAATGTCCAGTCCTAAATCCCCCTTTGCTTCTACCTGCTAGAGCCGGGGTGGGTTCAGGGAAGGTGTGGGATCGACTGAGGGAGGAGGCCTGGAGGTCCTACCCGCAGTTCAGCTTCCACTTCTTGGTTACTTTGGGCCGCAACCCTACTCCTCCACTCTCCCGTCCCCGAACTCGTCCGCGTCCGCGCTGGGCCTGCAGGGTAAGCTGCCCACCCGCCCGGGCAGCCGAGGAAGGAGACGGCGAGCCCCGCGGCCGGACGGCCACTTTGATTGTTACGCGCATTCAACTTCACAGAGTGCGGGGGGCGCTTGCGGGGGCCTCCGCCCAAGCGCCACTCAAGTCCCGGAGCGCGAAGGAGCAGCCAAGAGGAAGGCGCAGCCACCGCCGCCCGCGGTCTCCAAGCAGCCGCCCGCGTTCTTCCGGCCGGCCCCCCGCCGTGGGGGAAGGGCCGCCGCCCGCGCCGCCGCCGCCGCCGCCGCCGCCGCCCGCATCCTCCCGGTCCCCGTCGTCGCCGCCGCCGCCGCCGGCGCCAGGGCCGCGCATCGCCGGAGCGCGACCGCAGCTGAGGATCAGCTGCTGAGGGAGGAGGAGGAGGAGGAGGAGGAGGCGGAGAAGCCGAGGGGAGGAGCTTCGCAGGGAAGGGGAGGGAGGCTGGCAGGCCGGCGGCCGTGAGGAAGCCGCGAACGCCACCGAGTGTCTGCACACCTCGCTCGGGCTGCCATGGCTGGTTGAAGAACCGTCCGGATCGCAGCGCTGGGGGGAGGGCCGGGCGCGGGGGGGAGAGCGAGCGGACGGCGGCCGCGCGGGAGGCCGAGGGAGGGGCGGCGGCGCGAGCGGCGGCGGCGGCGGCGGCGGTTCCAGCATGAAGAGGAGAGCTGGCCTGGGGGGCAGCATGAGGTCAGTGGTGGGCTTCTTGTCCCAGCGGGGCTTGCATGGGGACCCCCTGCTCACTCAGGACTTTCAGAGGAGACGCCTGCGGGGCTGCAGAAACCTCTACAAGAAGGACCTCCTGGGCCACTTCGGCTGTGTCAATGCCATTGAATTCTCCAACAATGGAGGCCAGTGGCTGGTCTCAGGTAAATCAACCCCCTTCCCCGCACCTCCCGGTCCCCCTTCCAGCCTCTCCCGCCACCCCCCTTCGCTCTCCCCTCGCCACCCCCTCCTGCCCTCCGTCCCCCCCTTCTTCCTTGTCAACCCCACCCCACCCCCTTTTTCTGCGGTGGGAAGGTTTGGTGTCAAATTAAGACCATTGCAGGGGGAGGGCGGGCGGGAGGGGAAGGAGAGGATGTCTTCCGTAAAAAAAAAAAAGAGAGACCTAAAATGGTTGACAGGTCCCTAATTCACTACATCCCAAGTGCGAAGTGAGCTCTCTTTGGAGCAAAGCCCCTGAAAGTGTGGGTCGGGGAGGGGGCGAGGTTACCGCTTGACAAAGTTTGATGGCAAACTCTTCCTCCGTGTACTTTAAAAGGTGCGGGGGGCCAATTTTGGGGATTCGGAGGCCCGCCTGAAGCAAGGAGGGGAGCTGGAGTCCCCGCCGCCCGCGTCATGGAGAAGGGGCTGTGGGGCCCGGTGCTGACAAGGAGCCGGACGCCCCAGGGCCGGGGAGGCCGCGACCCCAGGGGCTCGGCGCGGTCAGCGGAGGCGAGGGGACCTGCCCCCTCGGCCGCTGTGAGGGGCCCAGAGCCTCTCCTGCTGCGGCGGCCTCTTCCGCGTCTTGTTTTTATTTTGGGTTCGGGAGCGGCTGGGGGCTTGGAGGCAGAGGGACGCCCGTCTGAACTTGAACGCGCAACTTGCGCGGCAGGGGCTCGGTGGGCGACCCCCGGGAGACTTGTTGGCGGGAGCTCGGCGCCCGGACTCGACTTCCCCGCGGCTGCCGTTGCAGGTGGTCTCCGCGTCTCCCTCTCTCCCTCCTTCCCAGCCCAGTCGGTTTGCCCCCCTCCCCCTCCCCCCGGCTTCCCCTCCGGTATGGGGGAAAGTGGCGAAATCGAGGCCGGGGCTCCGGCCGGGCGGTGTAGGCCTCGCTCTCCCGGGGCTCCTAGCGACAGGCCGCTGAATCGATAGCCTATTGCTCCCGGGGAGGCCCCGGCCGGCCGGGCGGCGGCGGCGACAGCTGCCCCGGGGGAGGAGGTGCGCCCGGCGGGAGGGAGCGCTCCCTGGGGTCGCCGGCCCGAGGCGAAGGGCGCAGTGGGGGAGGGAATGGGCGTTTGCGGGGCTGGAGGGAGGGGGGTCGGCATCTTCCCCAATCCCGACCCTGGTGCGGAGGGCGAAGACGGGTGTTTGGGTGGTCTGCGGTTTCCGTCCGTTTTATGGGGGTGAGGGGCCTCGATCCCTTCCTGTATTGGAAGGTCTGAGGTTTGGGGGTGGGGGGGCTTGGGGAGGGCAGCGCTGGACGTGGCGCCTGGCTTCCCCCAGGTCGGCCCTCGGATGGCTTTCTAGTTTGCGTCAGTGGGCAATTCGCCAGAAACTTCTGGGATCATGGCAATAGCATCCGTTTTCGCGAGTTACAGTCGGAAGTGACATGGGTGTACAGTCCCATGGGGGCGGGTAGCAGAGACAGGACTTGTGATGATTTCTTGATAAACCTCCTGGAGCTTCTGCAGGGCTGACCTGAGTGTGTGATCATGCCCTGAGGGGACCCGGTAGCACCTATTCAAGGCAGATCCCAAAGGGAAGCTTCCTCCTGCCTTCCAAGTTTTAGCCAATAACTGTCAAGGGCAAAGGTGGGGAAAGACCTTTCAAAATCAAAGTTGCCAGTGTTCCCCTCCTGCTTCTTCTATTCTCAAAATGCTTCCGACTTCCTCTTAAAAGGATAGATTTCCTACAGGGGTGTTCTCAGACCCCAGAAGCTAACCACTGAGTTAGGCAATGAGTCGGTGCCTTACAGACAACTGAGTTCACCAGGAATGCCTGGGTTAACACATCGGAACAGCTTTGTGGAAATACCATTTACATACTCGACGAGACTCACCTCCTTAAAGTGAATGCAGTTTAGAAAGCACTAACAAAATTATAAAATATATATCGCTGCCTTCCCTACTGGCTAGCGCTTCTGTGTCCCTATCGGGACCTTCCCCGCGTGTCAGCTTGCCGGTGTGTTGCCTTGAGTCGGTCTGAGCTTGTGGAAGAGGAGGGCCCTGTCCTTGCTGTGTCATAGACCTCCGTGTCTGCCAGTTCGTTTCCTGACTTTGCCGCCTGAGTCTCCATCAGTATTTCCTGGGTTTCAAACTTTTTTGTCCCCTGCTGCTGCTCCTCCCTGCCCTCACACTCCCAGTTCAATTCTTCCTGTTTGCTTTTTATCTGCTCCTGCCCTTCCAGCAGCCTTTTTTTTTTTAACTGGCCTCTCCAGTTTGGCTCATTTAGACTCGGTTGTTCACGTTCCTTTAATGCTGAGTTTTGGTCCGAATGCACCTGCCATCCTGAGTACAGCTTGTGTGAACCTCAGCAGAGTTCCTCCTGTTGGCTTCAGATAAGGAACCCACCCCCTTTGGGGAGTCTCAGAGCACCTTAATTTGTTAAAGTTAATTAAAATTTTTTTCTGGGAAATCCTTTAATTATCTTATCTGTCCCAGTCCCTCATTAGCATTAAAATCCGAGGGAGGGGCAGGTAAGTATTTTGAGACTTTAGCTATCTAACCCTAATCATAAACAGTAATACCTGCCCTAATGGGATGGGGTGCCAGTGAGATGACTTGCATGCATCTTGCTTGTGTATCTTGTCTGGACTAGTTAGAGCCCTTAAGAGAGTAGTGATTAAAATGATAGACTTCATAGCTGATTCATTATTTTCATTTCGTAATTGTTTCAGCAGGATCACATTTCTTGTAACTGACACATCCTACTTGATAAAATTAATCTAGACCCAGGGCGAAAATGTTTACACGATCCCCATGGCTGTGTGTAGTGCTGCTGCGGAAGATGGGTTGGTTTTCCTTTAAGGCTCCAGCTCTTTCTCCAGGGCGTAGCCGACCACCTGATGTAAAGGGTAACCCAGGGAAAGGAAGGAGAGAAGGTGCCATGCTGGGAAGTGGGTGTGACACCAACGAGTGGCACAAAGCGTGTTGGACGATTTTACAACATTAAAATTTATTTTAACCCAAGAGAGACTTTTCTTTGGCCTCCCCGTTTTGCCATACAAAGCAGTGGATGACATCTTGTGTTGTCTGGTTAAAGTGTGACCCAGGCCAGGTTACTCAGCCTTGCTGCCCGTGGAGGAACACTTCAGGAATTGCGTTGCCTTCCTGCAGGGCTGTTGTGAGCAGTGCTTTAGGCAAAGTATAGGTCGGAGGCCTCTCAGAGAAAATGCTGTTTTGTGCTCAGGACACCCGGTGTCATTCATAGCTGGCGTTTGTTCGCGGCAGTTTTGGGAATAGGCCGTGCTAATGGTGAAGATACAGGATGAAGAGGTACCCTGACTGAGGTGTGGAAAACCCTGGGTTGGCATTGCTTGACTGGCGCTGGGGGCCACACCCATCACAAATTATGTGAGTTTAGGTAAATCCCTTCACTCATCTGTACATGGAGCATAACATATTGCCTCAGTTCCCTCCCAGGATGGCGGTGAAGGGGTGATGACATGTTATATGTGCGAGCACTGGTCATCACAGACCAGCTCCTGCCTCGTGAGGATGGTCTTGTTGATGAGGATTCCCGTGTGCGGATCCTGAGGGCCGCGGGCTGTCGGCGTGCTGTGCGTGAGAGATCTGACAGCAGCAAGGAAACTGACTGACCGCTCGCGGTTGGAGCTGTCCTGGCTTTGCATCTTAGGTTTTGGCTGCGTCTAATACTCTGTACTGTGTTCACTGTCTCTTCTCGCCCTTCTCCGTTGAGTGGGCCCATTTGCGCGCTTGCCGCCTCTTTGTGAGGATGAACATGCCTGTGGAACCTGCCTGGAAGACTGATCGCAGGGCAGCCTTGTGCGGATCTTGAGCTGGCCTGTAACTCCGCCTTTATCTTGTGAAGGGTTTGTGCAGACAGACATCTTAGCAGTCAACAGGAGAGATTGCCCTGAATTGAAGTTTAAAGCTTTAGACTCTTTGATCTAGCCAACTGGCAGCTCCTAAGTATAAAGTTTAGAATTATGGCAAGACGTGGGTCTCTCTTTTTTAAAGATTGATTGTTATTGGAAAGGCAGATTTACAGAGAAAAGGAGAGAGAGAAAGATCTTCCACCCATTGGTTCACTCCCCAGGTGGCCACAGTGGCCAGAGCGGTATTGATCTAGAGCCAGCAGCCAGGAACTTCTTTCAGGTCTCTCATGTGGATGCAGGGTTCCAAGGTTTGTGGGCTGTTCTAGTCTGCTTTCCTAGGCCACAAGCAAGGGAGCTGGAAGGGAAGTGGAACAGCTGGGCCATGAACAGGCCAGGGATCCTGGTCTATGCAAGGTGAGGATTTAGCTACTAGGCTACTGTGCTGGACCCTCAGGTCTCTTTTTGTGCCAATAAACTAAATGTAGAAAAAGTATGTTCAGGAATTTTTCAGTGGCATCAGCAACTGCATGGGGAAAGACATTTAAAAGTCGGTCATACTGTTTACTGATGGGATTAGATGTTTAGTCTGTGTTTCACCTGGGCCTCTGACCTTATTGATCATTAGGAGGATTTATAGAGGGATTGTGAATATGAACCCTGAAGTCAGGCAGCCAGGACGGTAGCAGTCAGCTGCGTGATCACTGGGTTAGCTTTCACGGGTTACAGTTGTACCTCGCCGAGTTGTGAGGACTGAAGGAAGTGGCACCTGTAAAGGTTTATCACAAGGGCCCTGCCCTGCCTGTGGCGCTGTGATTGTTTTGCGGGACCTCAGGAGGTGGGGGCTTTCAGTTCCACAGGAACGGTCAAGGAGGTGAGCTGATTTGATTTGTAAGATCCCCCACAGCCTTGTCATCACAGTTTATTTTTAAGCATGAAATAATAGCAATGATTATAACTATGGCTAATTTGACCTATTAGTCAATGGTCAGTTAGTTCCAGTTGCCCAGTCATTGGTTATATCACATTTTACATTTTACAGATTTCAGTCTTTTTGGGAGGGGTGGTGTCTACTAGCACTTTCAGGAGAAATGTGGCTGGTGATGGGCAGAT